TGGTGGTGGTCTTGTAAAAAAAACCACAGGAGTTTTGGCATAGGATCCAGACGTGGTTAGAGGAGATGATTAGACAGAAAATAGAATACAAAGTGGAATTATTTCTACTAGGAATTATGAAAGAGAGACATAGTAAAGAGGTGATCTATTTAATAGTATATATTATCACAGCTGCAAGAATGTTTTTTGCTCAAAAATGGAAAAACAGACAAATCCCTGATGAAGATGAGGCGATAAATACTGGTGTGCTGAAATGGATAGACTAACTATGTAATTTAAAAATAAAGATTAGACAGAATATTACAAGATATGGAATACATTTTTACCAATGGTGGGAACAGAAAGGAGGGACCCAGAATAAAGAAAATGATTAGGATTTGTAGAATGGATAATTGAGATTATGTAAATAAGTACAATGGAACACGAGGGATAATACAATGGATATAAATTAACTGTATAGATGTGTATAAGATATGTATCATATACTTTAGTATGTATGGCAAAAATGAATGCCAGGACGACCAAACTGTGTCCAATGTTTTAATGGTGTAATCAATACAATATTTTTTTTAAAAAATAAAGAATTGAACCAGAGATCATCTGATTGCAAAAGGTGCATGGCTGGATTCATACACTCCACTGAGACATAAATCAAAATGTATAAACTATAATGGCTGGGTTCACACAACACACTATGGCACTTTTTTTTTCCATTAAAAAATCATACGGTGGGTAATTTCAAGAGATGCCCTTCTTTTTTGTAGATCAAGGAACTTTGAGAGTCTTTCTGGGGGATGTGTTCCAAAGAACACAAGCTAAGAACAAAAATTAATTATTGCATTTAAATGTAATAAATTACATTGAATTAATTTAATTCAATGTAATTAATGTAAGTAATTGAATTAATTCTGATGGACAACAGTACATTCAAAAAGGATCTCAGAATCTAGCTCAATCACAAGCTGAACATAATCCTAAAGGGTGATGAAACTACAAATAAAACAAATGCATTGCTAGATAATAATGTAATAGTCAGTATTACACCATCATTCTTCTCTATGCCATACTGGTCAGACCACATCAAGAATATTTCAGGCACTACATTGTAGGAATTTATTGACAAACTAAAATGTGTCCAGAGGACAGGAACCAAGATGATAAAAGGTCTAAAAGGAAGCACTTAAGAGGAACAGTTGAAGTCACTGCGTATATTTAGCATGGTGAAAAGGAGACAGATGCTGTTTTCAAGTATCAGCATTCAGTATCCTATGGGAAAAGGGGCAGAATGGTTCTGAGTTGTTCAAGAAGACAGGATAAGAAACAGTGGATTTAAATTATACAGAAGTAAATTGCAGTTGGATATCAGTGGAAAAAAGTCTTAACAGTAATAGCAATTGAATAATGGAGCACAACTCCTCAGGAGGTGATGGACTGTCCTTTAGTGGTGATATTTCAACAAAATTTGGATAGACAGTTCTTGACAAAGTTGTAGCAAATAGGATTAGATTATCTCCAAAATCCCTTTCAATGTTTATATTCCATGATTCTGTTCTTATCCTATGAGTTGATTGTTCATAATTACACTTCATCCTCTCTCTGATTTGAGACCTTTCTAAAATTAAATTAGGTCTGATACCAAAGCAGTCACTGAAAAACACATTTATTTATTTATTATTTATTTATTTATTATTCATTCATTCATTCATTCATTCATTCATTCATTCATTCATTCAGAAAGTTTACTTGCTCACAGCGACTCTCGATAGCTTACAAGCAATAAAAACACAGTATAGAATTGTGTTGGCGAACCTATGCCACACATGCCAGAAGTGGCATGCAGAGCCATTTCCCACATGTGGGAGATCGCCCGGAAGAGCCCCACTGCGCATGCACACACATGCTGCCGCCCAACAGCTGATTGTCGGGTATCTGGCGCGCATGTGTAGGGGCGGTGGGGTGTGTGCGGGAGATGCACGTGCATGTGCAGGGGGCGTGGGGGGGGGGCAGCATGCATTGCCTTCTAGGTGCTGGCACGTGAGTGCGCGCAAGTGAGCGTGTGTGCAATTATCGGCACGGCAGCCGAAAAAGGTTAGCCACCACTGGTATAGAAAATAAAATAAAAAACAATAACTCCCACCACATGTATGTATTGATATATATTGAAAATCTCAGAATAATGTCTTGTCTGAAATTTTATCTTCTTATAAATATCCCACTGCTCCAATATTTTGGAGCTATCATTATGCACATTGATTAAATCACATGTTTAGGAACTGCATCAGAATACTTTGTGTGGTATCTTAACAAGCATGGGACACATTTGTGAAAACTGGTTACTTGTAAGAGGTGTAATGAAGAATGATACAGAAATGTATACATATAAGAAAAATAAAAGGACAGGAGACAGGGACAGGGATGGTAGGACAGGGACGGTAGGCACGTTGGTGCGCTTATGCACGCTCCCTACAGACCTCTTAGGAAAGGGGTGAGGTCAATAGTAGACAGTCTTAAGGTTAAAGTTTTTGGGGTTTGGGGAAGAAACCACAGAGTCAGGTAGAGTATTCCAGACATTGACCACTCTGTTGCTGAAGTCGTATTTCCCGCAATCAAGTTTGGTGCAGTTAACCTTGAGTTTGTATCTATTGTTTGCTCTTGTGTTGTTATGGTTGAAGCTGAACTATTCATTGACAGGTAAGTCATTGCAATGTATGATTTTATATATCATACTTCGATCAGACCAAAGACGGTGTAATTCAAGGTATTCTAGGTCTAGAATTTCAAGTCTGATGGCATAAGGTAGTCTACAACAAGTAGAGGAGGGGAGAACACTTCTTGTGAAATATTTCTGGACTTTCTCAACTGTGCTAATATCAGATACGTAATGTGGGTTCCAGACTGATGAGCTGTATTCGAGTATTGGTCTAGCAAATGTTTTGTATGCTCTAGTTAGTAGTGTGATATTACCAGAGAAAAAGCTACGTAGGATTAGGTTAACAACTCTTAATGCCTTTTTGGCTATGTAGTTACAGTGGGCTCTAGCACTTAGATCATTAGAGATGAGTACTCCAAGATCCTTGACAGAGTTTGGATCATCCACAAGGTCTTGACTATTCAGCTTGTATTTTATTTTCTGATTATTATTTTTTTGCCAATATGTAAGACAGAGCATTTATTCGTTGAGATTTGAAGTTGCCATTTGTTTGACCATTCTGATACATAGTCAAGATCTTTTTGAAGGGTAGCAGTATTGTCTGTGGTATTGAACAGCTTTACATCATCAGCAAAGAGAACGCAGTTGCTCTTAATGTGACCACAGAGGTCATTTATGTAGAGTATGAAGAGAGTTGGTCCTAGAACACTGCCTTGGGGGACACCACTATTGACAGGTATAGAATTTGATAGGACACTCCCAATTTTGACCATTTGTTGTCTGTTTGACAGGAATGCTTCTATCCAGTTATGCAGTTGTCCAGAGATACCATAAGATTTTAGTTTTAGGAGTAGTTTGTCATGTACCACTGAATCAAAGGCTTTACAGAAGTCTATGTAGGTTGCGTCTATTGTTTTGCCCTGATCGAGTTGTGTAGTCCATATGTTTTTGCAGTGTAAGAGTTGCAGATTACAGGATAGTTTTTTTTCTGAAACCAAATTGTTTATTAAAAAGTAGGTTGTTTGTCTCTAAGTGGAGGATAATGGATTGGTTAATAATTGATTCCATGACTTTACAGGTGATGCAGCTTAAGGAGATTGGTCTGTAATTTTCAACTAGGCTGGGGTCTCCCTTTTTGAAGATGGGGATGACTGTGGCTTGTGACCATAGGTTAGGCAAGGAGCTGGTCCTGAAAGATTTTTTAAAGGTTATGCTTAGAGGTTCTGCTATGGCAGTGGATAGCTTTTTTAAGAATTAGGCACATATTCCGTCTGATACAATAGATAGAGATGGTTTTAGATTGCGTAGTGCTTTTTCAACATTGTCTTCTGTAAAATCGATATGTATTAGATCATTGTATTTTTCTGTGGTTCAGCTAGGAAATACTGGGCATGATCAATTGCTGTTTAGAAATACTGAGCCAAAGAATGTGTTAAAGATGTTAGCTTTAATGGTGTCGTTGTTGCAGTCTTTACCGTTTGGTCCTTTCAGGGGTAGGATGGACCTTGAGTCTTTTAGTTTGTTGTTTACAAAATTGTAAAAAGCGTGGGTGGAATTGGTGCGTAGAAGATTTTCCTCTTGTTTAATGTGATAATTGGTGCATTCAGTCTTTATCTGGTGGCATAAATTTTTGTATCGGCTTTTGAAGTTGGCAACGTGACCAGATTTGTTTTTCCTCCAGAGTGATCTCTTTTTGGATTGAATTTTCCTTATTGTTATGGGTAATCTGTTTGTTTTTTTAAAAAAAACTTAAACTTAAACTATTTGTAGCAACAGTAGAATATCAACGCTGCATTTCTTAATGCCGCCATAGACATATAAATTCATGGTCTCCCACGTTCTGAAAAATAATAAAATAAGATTTCCCTCTCAATTCAATTTAAGTAAAAGCCTGAATTGTGGGTTTCTGTTTTAAAAGTTTCGAAAACACTGTTAAAATGTTGGCCTAGTTGTGTTGCAATAAATTTTTATTTCGGACTTCCCACTTAAAAAGAGGATGGGTAGTTCTCCCAAGAGAATATAATACATGTGTGTACTTATGTTTACATTTAGTGGATTACACTCCATGATGTGCTATTTGTTCACATGTAGAGATTTTCTTGTTCTTCTCGAAACACCTGTTTCCCCAAATCACCCACATCCAAACGCTCACCTCCTTCTCCCGGGTCTATTCCTCGAGCTCCAGTTTCCAATAATAGAGGAGGCTTAAAAGACTGTGCAGAGAAGACCACATTTCCCAATAGGCAACGAGAAGAGAGAGAAAAAAAAAATGCTCGCGTGTGACGCAGAGACCTCTGGGTGTTGTAGTCCTGGTGGGAGGGTTTCCCCCGCAGCCGTGCTCCTCCTCCTTCTCCTCCCTCGCTCTCGTCCCCGAAGACGGAAGCCTGCGGAAAAGTGAAGAGGAGCGGAGTTGACAACATGGGGGGCTCCAAAGTGAAGGTGGCGGTGCGGATCCGACCCATGAATAAGAGAGGTGAGTTGATGAGCGCGGACCGGGCGCCTTCCACTTAAGTGTGAATGGAAGAAGAGAAGAGACTTCCCCAAGCAGCGCCCAAAGAAAAGGATCCCCCCCCCCCAATTCCACGCAAATAACACTTGGGAAGGAATCAAACGTCGAGGGGCAGGAACCGAGAACGATCTTTCCTTAAGGGCTTGGTGGCTGGGCAGGACTTTCATTCCCCCCCCCCTCCCATGTTGGAAAGGGGTGTCCCTCCTGCAGACGATTAAAAGCGGAGAGAACGAAGGACGCTTCGGAATGCTTGCGGGAGAGACCCCCTTCCAGGACCACGGGGAGAAGGAAGGACGAATATCACCCACCCCCCAGCTGAGTGGGTGAAAAGCATCTAAAAAGCAAAAAAGACTGGGGGGGGGGGCAGAAAAACCACTGCCCCATTGCTGAAGTGTATATTTAAGGAGTTAACAATGCCCCCCCCCTCCAATATAGGGGTAGAGGGAAGGGGTGGCTTTCCCCAGAATTGAAGGGCTGCAGATGTGGGAGGGAAAGAAAAGCCTCAGCCCACATTCTGATTTGAGAAAGTCTGGGGAATCCTCTGTCAGAAAGTCCAGAAGAGAAGGGCCACTTCCCCCTCCGCTGTATGGAAAAATATTTCCACCGCTGTATGGAAAAAAATATTTTGCCCTGGGGCAGGAGGCAGAGACCAAAAACGGGAGAAGAGTCAGAAGGAGCAGCAGCTGGAAACATAGTATGTGTGGCCTGCCTCCTTGCTGAGGTGAGGGAATCCCTTGCCAAGGTGAAAGTGTGGCCAGGAAGCCTAAACACAGAAGATAGGAAGGCGCACTACCAGCCTGTGTTATAGGAATTGGAGGGAAGTTCCCTGCTTGATAGGCACTGCTGCTCTTTGGGCAGGTAGACCAGAATGAAACTGGCCAGTGTCCTATGTCCACCCGCCTCCCCTGGGATAGGAGCCAGAACAGAATCATCTGTGCTCATAAGATAGGAAGTCCTTCCTTAGCCTGGGACAGGAAAGCAATTGAAAATGCGGGACCCAAATTTTAAGAAGGAGTTAATAAGCAAACACTCTCTGTATATGTGTGTAGATTAAAGTGAAATCTCTCCCTTTAAGGTCAGAAAGAACCAAGTAAATCTTGAGCAATTTGGAGGCCAGATGAGAATGAGAGATAGACTGCCTTTATACAATATGGGTCACCTGGTTGTTAACTTTTCTGGGTTTGCACAAGAAAATGACACTACACATTAACCGGCTACCAGACCAAACAAAAACCTTAAGGTTAAGAATAACTAAGCTTCGCAAGTTATGAAAATGGGCTGCCAAGTTGTTAATTGACCTGGTTTAAGTTACTAGTTGTGTCAATGTCGTCTCATCCTTTTTCCCTTTCTTGTAAATTTGCCTTTTCCCTTTTTGGGTGATTTTCTTTTAGTATATCTTTTTCACAGTCTCTTGTTTTCACCTACTCACATTTATTTCTACATTGTAGCCAGATGTACAGCATTTGTGCCTCACAAGGGCACTGCTTTTAATTCAAGTTGGCAATATGAATCGTAATATTACTCTTAAGAAATTTGCATGCATGATGGTAGGGAAGCACTCAGTGAGGTGCTACAGCTGCATTTTTTGCTATATGTTTCTTCACAGGTGTCAACTACCTGGGTGAGGTAATACAAGCATGGGGATTAAGACAGGTTGTCTCCTGATATTTCAATTGAAGCATGTCCTATCATGGAAGATAGACATGAATAGTTCTTCTTTGATAATGTTTGAAGGGAGGGAGGAAATTTTCTGGTGTTCTTGCACTTGTTAAATTAGTTAGATAAGTAACTAAATGGTATTTTCATTATATGCCCCCCCCCTTCTTTTTAAAGGTCATTTTATAGCACTTTTTGTATATAATACCCTCTTTTCCCCTACTCCACATATGACTCCCCCTGATAGTATGATGTCTTGACTTTTCTCCTCCCCTCCTATAAGAATTAATATTTCAAAAAGCTAGTTGCTAAGCTTTGCATTTTACAGGATGCTCAAATGCCAAGTAGTCTAAACTTTCTTGTCTGTTAGGTTGGAGAGGCAGAGACTGCACTGAGAAACCTGTCCTGTGCTATGAATTTTCATCCCTGTCAAGCTGCTTAGGTCATCTTCTACATCAAGCAGAAATGATGTTATCATAAGACGATGAATATAGAAATTCTTAACTACTCCAAAGTTGTGATGAAAATTAATTTCTCCAATCTATTCACTACTCTAGGCTAAAATGAGGTTGGATTAGGGTTCATTGTGAGAACCCAGCAGTTATACTGTGCGAACCACAGTACCATATTGTATATTTACAGCCAAACAAATAATATGGTTTGCTTCATTGGCATAACATGTTAAATGAATACAGCCATTATGTTTTATTCATCTGAGTTTAGAATTTACAGTGTTTCATGGATGCTTCTTCATAATGTTTCACTAATTTATTTTCCCTAATAACAGGAATAATTCTGATGGGAACAATACTTTTTAAATGTCTTCCCAATGTCATTTTTGTTACTATGAGTTTGTAATTATCTGATTACAGCAAAATGCTAAGATCTGAAATCTTTTTCAAGCCTAAAGAGATGCATATCTAGTTCTTATCAATAGATAATATTTATCAATACCCTGCCTTTATTTCATTTGTGCTTGAGGGCATCTGTCCTTCTGAATAGTGTGCATTTTGCATGAGCTTACAGAATTATCAGTCAAGTAATTATTAGATGAAGCCCTAAACAAAACGGCTTTATCATTCACTCTGGGCCCCACCCCCAAGGCCATAAGACCATTTAGAATTTCAGCTGCTGCTTTTCCCTGTATGTGGCTTCTGTTCAGAAAAAGTATTTTAAAAAAAGGTCACTCTTATTAAATGCTTGATGTGTAGTTGAGATCCGTTAGACCAGAACCATATTATTCACAATTCATTTTGGTTTGGAGATGGAGAATATTGTCGTTCTGGTTTGATCTAAGAATAATATTCTCTCCATCCAACCAGATGCTCAACTCTCCTCTTTGTTCCCAAGCGTAAAATTGTTAGTGTTGAATTGGTGCCTGGCTAAAAATCTGCCATCTAACATCTTGGGAAGTGAAAAGAAGGGGGGGGGGCAGGGGCAGGGAATTTTTAGTGGCAGGAAGGGGCTGACTTACTCCTCCTCTTCTCCATTACTCTGGACAATGTCTGTTTCAGCTACACTTACATAGTTCTTTATTAAATTTGTACTCTAAAATTTGTATCGGTGATTCTTTTACACTCTGATCTCCCAGACAGAAACTTCTTCAATCTTTCTAAGATGATTGTTGACATTTTTGCAGATATCATAAAGGCTATAGTATTGCAGAAAATCATGAACTGGTTGAGGCATGTAAAATTTCTCTATATTTAAACTTGTGAAAGTAAAAGGGTAAGTGGATATGCATTTATTATCTAGCTATTTTTTCCCAAGGTAAACTGTTCAAATGCTTCATAACTATGCATGGCATCAAAACAGGCATATTTTACATTTGAAACATATACAGTATGTGTGTGCATCATATTGAACAGAACTTGAAAATTTGTTTGACAGCCGAATTTTAAGAGGAGAAATTGGCACTTGGGGGGAACGGCTGAGTTGAGATTCCAGTAACAATTGTGCTTCTGTGTTGGAGAGTGGCAAATATCAAAGCTCTCTCTCACTTTGGAGTAAAGATGTCTTAGGCATGCCATTGTCTGCCCTAACAATAGCCTTATCTAGAGAAAAATGGTTTAAATGATCTTTGTTTTCAATTACAAATGCTTCAGTTTCCTGGAGCCATATGTTGAAATCTCTCTATATTCATCTCACAAACATATAGGAAGAATAGTTTTAAAACTTTATTCCTTAAAACCAATGTTTTGCCATTTGAAAAATAGAACAATAGCTTAGTTGATCATAACTAAGTTGAATCCTTTCCCCTGCTGTATTTTGAAGGAAACATTTCCTCCCATGTTCAACGAATAATGATATGGAGTTACATGACTTATGATCATAAATGCGGAACCTCGGATGTTGAGCAAAGCAGTCCTTAAGTGAGATGCCCACATGACTACTTCGCTCAATGACCATAAACATGGCACTCGCAATTGTGGTCCTTAAATGATCTTCTGGGTCATTAAAAGGATGGAGTGAAAGGGCTGCCTGCTAGGAGGACATCTCAGCTCCATGTACAGCTGACATTTCCCACCCCCCTTGCTCTGTCAGGCAGCCCTTTGAGAGCTGAGACTTCTCCGCTGAGAACTGAGAGCTGAGATTCCCTCCCAGAGAACAGCCCTTTGAATGAAAGAACAGGGAGGCAGAGAAAGGAAAGGGGAAGGAAGTAGCGAGAGAGGGATTTTCGGCTCCACGTATGCTTGCAATTTGACTTCCAAGGCTCAAGCAGGCACAGAGTTTGTGGTCTTTCTTTCCCCATCTCTGCAGAGAGCACTGTGCAGGTGAGGAGAAAAGGATTTGGGGCTTTGTGCATGCTTGGAAATCCAGGCAGACATGAAACTTGGGGTCCTTCTCTCCTGCCTCTGTGTAGAACTCCGCAGAGACAGGGGAGCTCTGTGCCTGCTTGAATTTTGACTGCTGAGGTCCCGGAATAAATGGAGTTTGGGTTCCTTGTCTCCCTGCCTCTGCAGAGAGCTCTGTGGAGGTGTGTGGAGAGAAGGATTTTAAGCTCCATGCCTGGTTGCCTTTCAGTTATCGAGATTCATGCAGGCAAAGATCAGCAGGGTTTTCCTCTTTTTTTTGCCATCCCCCAGAGAAAAGAGAGGCCCTCTTGGCAGGTGGCAGCAGCTGCCAGTTTCCCCACTGACATCCTGAAGAGGTAGGCAAAGATGACTGCAAATGGCAATCATGCAATTGTGGGGCACTTGATAACCAGTTGTAAGTGTGGGCAGAAGAACCCATATCACAAGAACAGTGCCAAGAACCTACATCATAATCACATGGCTATGTTTGTGTGTGACATTTCGTAATGGTTG